AAAACATGGGGCCCCTTGTTCAAAAATTACTGAGCTTTTCAAGATGGTAACATCAGAGCATGAAACCAACGAGATCCTTCTAAGCTTGGGACCCTATGTGGCTGCATAAGTTGTGTCCCCATAAAACCAACCCGGTCTAAAAATTACAAAACATCTAGAAGAAAACATAGGAGAAAACCTTTGTTTCCTTGGCTTATGCAAAGATTTCTTAGATACGATACCAAAAGCATGCTCCATTAAAGAACAAATTGATAAAATGAACATCATCAAAATTAAAAACTTATGCTCTCATAGATGGTTAAGTGAACGAGAAGACAATCCACAGACTGAGAAATAATATTTGCCAAAAATAATAATAAATTTTAACACGCATTAAGTGCCAGATACTGTTCTAAGAATTTTATATGTACAAACACATTATAAAGCAGATACAATTTTTATCCTCATTTCATGTAAGAAAGGCACAGGAATTGGGGCACCTGGGTGGCTCAGTCGTTGGGCGTCTGCCTTCAGCTCAGGTCATGATCTCAGGGTCCTGGGATCAAGCCCCGCATTGGGCTCCCTGCTCTGCGGGAAGCCTGCTTCTCCCTCTCCCACTCCCCCTGCTTGTGTTCCCTCTCTCACTGTGTGTGTGTGTGTGTGTGTGTGTGTGTGTGTGTCTCTCTCTGTCAAATAAATAAATAAATAAAATCTTAAAAAAAAAAAAAAGAAAAGAAAAGAAAGGCACAGGAATTTAAACATCCAGTTTAATGGTATAAAACTACTAAACCAAGGAGCCAAAATTGGAGCCCAGACATTCTGACTTAAAAAAAAAAAAAATTATTTATTTATTAGAGAGAGTGAGGAAGAGAGAAAGAGCATGAGCAGGGGGAGGGGCAGCAGGAGAAGAAGCAGCAGACTCCCTACTGAGCTGGGAGGCCAACATGGGGCTTGATCCCAGGATTCTGGGATCATAACCTGAGCCAAAGTTGGACGCCTAACCAACTGAGCCACAGAGGTGTTCTGACTTTGAAGCCCACATTCTCGGGGCAAATGAGTGGCTCAGTCAGTTGGGCATCTGCCTTCAGCGCAGGTCGTGATCCCAGGATCCTGGGATTGAGCCCGGTGTTGGGTCAGGGGTGGGGGTGGTGTTCCTGCTCATCAGGGAGTCTGCTTCCCCTTCTTCTGCTGCCCCTCACCCTACTCCTGTGCACTCACTCTTACTCCCTCTCTCTCTCTGTCTCTTTCGTTCTCTCTCTCTAATAAATAAATCGAATCTTTAAAAAAAAAAAAAAAAGGCCCATACTCTTTATGTCTCCTAAGATAAAAAGAAACGACACCTCTTTCTTCTCCACATCAGCTCCTTCTTATTTCAACAGACTACCTTACAAAACTCCTGAAGTAGGCATTTTTGCTGGCCACGTCTGCTTGGCTATGTTCAATATATAATGTCCCCTTCTTATAAGGTTTTTCCCAAGACTAAGCAAATCAAAAGGTTATCAGTGCTTCCGGGACTGGTATCAGCAAGCCAAGGGTAGCACAAGTAATTCTGTAACACTCTGTGCCGGATAGAGCAGCCTTGAGCATGAACTGCCACATTGCCCATGCACTCTTTCGGAGCAAGGGACGCTTCTGCAGCAGGGTACATACTGGTTCCTTGAGCCTGGAAAGAATGCATGCGCCTCCTTCCAGTGACCATTTACATCTAGAGAGGCACCAAGGAGGCATGGGAACACTCCTGTTTATCTGTGTGTCTGAGCCCACCCACTGCTTCCCTGCAAGCTGTGGGGAAAGAAGTATCAAGTCCTAAAAAGGCATTTGGACTGAATAGCACAATATGCTTGGATACCCTTGCTTCATGTAAACACAGGGTGATTGTGAATTCTAAGAGCCTGGGTGTTGCAGTTCAGCAAGGCTCTGATTAGCGTCTAGAATGCATCCCAAGAAAGAGCTGCAGAACTCTTTGTCTGGAGGAAGGGTGTACACATGACTCTGGTCACCAGGGCTCCCTAGCAATTTTCCTATGACTATTTCATCCCAGGGTCCCTCTGAGAAACATTTTGGGAGCCTCTAGCACTTTCATGGCAAAGGGCTTTTGGCTAGCTAGCCCATCTTATTTTTATAAGTGCCAGCAAAGCATTTTGATGTAAAAGGAAGAATCGTGGGAAACTAAGCTTCCTTCCCTGTCCCGGTAGAAATCCTGTAGTTTGCAAGGTTTTCCCAAGAGCTAGTCATTGCTGAGTAAACTCCAATTTGAACAATCAGTGCTGGGAGTCTGTGACTTCAGCTTTGATGTCATGCAAGTGACTGTTGTCTAAGAATCAAAACATCCATTGCTTAGCCCCTAAGCTCCCAGGTTTCGGAGGCCAAAAAGCACAGGATTCCATACTTTATTTCCATCGCACAGTGTTTTCCTAGCCTTTAACCGATTAATATCTTTCAACTTTCAAAACAAGGAATATAATATCTGCCTCTGCCCATTCTGCTGGTGGGATTTGGGGGATCACATTTTTCCTGGGTGTTCTTGATCATGTGGCCGGGGTACATTCCTTGGAACATAGGCTCCACAGTAACCCTGCTCTTCTGACTTGAAGCCAGTCACACGGAGCCACTGCAACAAAACCTGAAACACTGGTATTTGGCACTTGTCACGCCCAGGGTACGGCTCTCTGAGATTCAGCAAAGTCCAACGAGGTGGATAGGTTTGTTTCTTGGTGTCGCGTATTTAAAACTTACATTTTAAAGTAAATCAACTCGGGATCTGCAAAGTTTTAAAATGAGCGTGCCCCGGCTATATTAGCATAGTTCAATTTCGCCAGAAAAAAATCTAAGGTTTTAAATGTTGGAGCAGCTTTTAAACTCTAGCAAGGAAAAAAGAAAATCAATGGAACAGAAACATCTGTACATATCTCTGCTTATCATTATCCTCTGTGATGAAATGACAAGCTCCGCCAGAGTAGATTCATGCCCTCGAGTGCTCCTTGACCCACCTTTCTCTCTAAAATGAAAATATTCTGTGTTTATCTATTCTAAGAATATATGAAACTATGTCTATATTTAGAAGAAAGTCTTCTTTGACGTTTTACAATTCCCCTTTTCTTGGTAAGTATTTACATAGACCACCAAAGTATGCACGTAGGTAAGTGAGACTGTCCCTCGTTTCCAAACAATCATTAGAGGCAGTAATGTGTAAGTATTAGCGGAGAGGAGCATTGTTGCATCTTCCTGGGAAACTAGCATTAAATAGTTACTCCTCATTTCATCAGGAAAAAGGAATGTGCTCTGGGGAACTAGCAGTGCAATAGTTATAAAATACCCACGTGGCTACACAGAGTACCTATCGGCCTCCTGCAGATATGTCAGTGCTGGGCAGGGAGGGAGAGCTTCCTTGCAGAGAGTAGACTGGGCAGAGGTGAGGTCCGTATCTCTTTCTTTTAATGATCTACAAAAATGAAGGCACCAATCTATATCACGTACACAAATGAAAATTTGAGACCAGAGAGTCTTTATGCTCATTTCTCAACCAAAGGACTCAATTTTCCTTGACGAGTACACACAGGGTCCTATCAAAGTTCATTGGGCAATTTTGTTTGAACCCTTCTAGGACAGCTTTTCTATTAGAAACCACAGAAACGTCCTTAATTAACAGACTTTTCTGCAGGGTGTGGCCCAAGCAGGACTCCAGGAACTGGAAGTGTGAATTTTAATGCTTTGCTGGAAAAGGAGACTCTGGACGTTCTCAGAATCTTATTTAAAGCGGGGTACGCTAACAGGTGAGGCGGTGCGTTAACGGCCTACATTAAGTTACAGGTATGAATTTTACATAAAACGGATTAATATTATATGTCATGGTGGAATTTTAAATACTCCGTGCCCATGCATTTTTAATATTTACGTGCCCTCATTTAATGCTTTGAGGCAATTGCATTTTTCTGGAGCCCACTTGTGCATCTAGATGGGTGAAAAGAAAAACCCTACGACGTTTGGCTCTTCACCAAATATCTGCGTTCAGTACTCTTTTTTGTTTGTTTGTTTTGGGGTTTTGTTTTTGTTTTTGTTTTCTTTCTTTCTTTCTTTCTTTGGGGGGGGGCTAAGCTTTAACCTTTTTAAAAAAGAAAACGGAACGGCTGCACATTCCATTCATCATTATGGTTTCGGTGATTGTGAAAAGGCGAATAATGAAACGGAGAGGGAAAAGACAGAAGAGAACGAACGTGCCTTCCTGAACAGCGTCCTTCTTAAGGCCCTGGAATCCCAGGGCTGGAGAGGTGGGTGGCGGAGGGTCCCTGGTCGCCGCGCTGGGATCCTCGAGCAGGGCCCAGCGCTCCCTCAGCCGCCTAAGCCCGGGGAGAGTGAATTCCAGCCGCACATTCCCGCAGTTCTTCGCAGGAACTTCTCCCTCTCTTTCCCCCTCCCTAGGGCACACACCAGCCTGGCCCGACTCCCACTCCGCTCTCTTTTCTCAGAACCCCGACCCACAGCGTTGACGGAATGGAGTGTCCTTCCCATTGGCCCGAGCGTCATTCCCTGAGGTGGCACCGTCCGCCCGATTGGCTGGCCACTCCCGACCCCCCCGCCCACCCGGCCGCTCGGGTTGCCCGGCTCCCCGCCCCCCAGCGCCGCCCGGAGCCTCCGCCCTCGCCGCCTCCCTCCGCGCGCCCGCCCGCGCGCCCAGCCCGGCCCCGATCGGCTCGCGCGGCGACCCTGCCGGCGTGCTGGCCCCGCCCCCGGGGCGCGCGGCTCCATAAATACAGCTGCGCGGCTGGCGGGGCGAGAGCGTAGAGCAGGCGCGCTTGGGAGTCGGTTTGGCAGTGGGGGAACCTCCGGGTAGGGGAGCGGAGCGGTGGTGGTGGCGGCGGCGGCGGCGGCGGCGGGAGCGGCCGGGCTGTAGTCGGAGCTCCGAAGGGAGTGACGAGGGAACCCGGTGGGCTGCTTTCCTTCCGCCGCTCTTGATTATTCTTGCCTTTTGGTCCCGGCCGAGTGTCGCCCGCTGAACAGAGATTCCCCTCGCAAAACCCGGAGCGACCCTGCCGTCAGTTCGTGGGCGCGGGATCGCCGGGAGCTTCGCGGTGCCCCGAGCGCGGACCGAGCGCGCCGGGTGCGAAGGCAAGGGGCGCGGAGCCGGCCGCGGGCGGGGGCCCGGAGCTTGCCTGCCTCCCTCGCTCGCCCCAGCGGGTCCGCTCGCGCAGGGCGCAGGGCGCGCGCGATGAAGGCGGTGAGCCCGGTGCGCCCCTCGGGCCGCAAGGCGCCGTCGGGCTGCGGCGGTGGGGAGCTGGCTCTGCGCTGCCTGGCCGAGCACGGCCACAGCCTGGGTGGCTCGGCGGCCGCGGCGGCCGCGGCGGCGGCAGCGCGCTGCAAGGCGGCGGAGGCGGCGGCCGACGAGCCGGCGCTGTGCCTGCAGTGCGATATGAACGACTGCTACAGCCGCCTGCGGAGGCTGGTGCCCACCATCCCGCCCAACAAGAAAGTCAGCAAAGTGGAGATCCTGCAGCACGTTATCGACTACATCCTGGACCTGCAGCTGGCGCTGGAGACGCACCCGGCTCTGCTGAGGCAGCCGCCACCGCCGGCGCCACCGCACCACCCAGCCGGGACCTGTCCCGCAGCGCCGCCGCGGACCCCGCTCACGGCGCTCAACACCGACCCGGTGAGAGGCCAGACGCTGGCCCCGGGCGGACGCGGTGGGGGACCGGGAGGGCGGCGGCCGGGCTGGGGGGGGGGCGGACGCGGGCGCTCCCCTTCCAACGGGAAGGGCGGCGGGGAAATGACAGCGCCCCCCCCCCCCTCCTCCGGGCGCCCGGGGCCAGCAGCTGCGGGCTCCTCGCGGCGAGCGCAGGTCGGGGGAACGCGCGGAGCGGGACTGGGGCTCTGCGCATCCTGGGCTGTCAGGTCTAGCCTGCGCCTGGGGTGGGGTTGGGGGAGTCCCCCAGGGCTGCAGGCTGGGATGGGGGTGCCGGCGCGCCTGCCTGGTTTTCAAGAACGAATCCAGGACCGTGCCGAGTGCGACGCTTGTGCCTGCTAACCTTTGCCTTGGTGTTTCGTTGCTGTTCCAGGCCGGCGCGGTGAACAAGCAGGGCGACAGCATTCTGTGCCGCTGAGCCGCGCTGTCCAGGTGAGCGCGCGTTTCCCTTCTCCCAGCGGCGGGTCACCAGAGACGCCCGTCCCCGGGGGCTTCCGGTGCCAAGCACCGCAGTATTCTCTGCCCCAAAGCATTTCTGAGGGCAGACCCCAATGAGATGGACACCCCCTCTCTGTGCCACCGTACTTCGCTTTTAGTAATTGGGGGTTTACTCTAAATGGAGACGTGTCACCAGCTCCTGTCCCCGCCGTCCCCGCCACGCCACCCTCGTGCCTCGTCCATGACCAGCCGGCTCTAACAGCCTTCCTCCCCGCCGAGGGAGGGCACCCTCGTGGGCGTGGAAACTGCCCGATGTGCCAACCTGCAACCCCCTCCCCCCCGCGCCGTCTGACACCCACAAAGTGGGGTGCGGGTAGGGCCTGAGAGTGGATCCCCAGTCCGGGCTTCCCGGGGGCCAGCAGCTGCCTGCAGGTCGCCTGGCCAGCCTCGGGCTGCGGGTGTTGTCTGACCTGGTGGTTTGTTTTGGGTTGTTGATCAAGCATGTCTTGAGTTTGGTCGGTGGCGCCAGCTAGTCTACAGCGGGAAGGTTCACACACCCCCTCTATTCATTCCTCTTCCACAGGTGTGCGGCCGCTTGAGCCCGAGCCAGGAGCACTAGAAAGGGAGGGGGAAAGAGCAGAAGTTAGAGAAAAAGCCAGCCGAGGAAAGGAGGAAAAAAAAAAAAAAAATCAGCAAATCCTAGAAACGTTTCATTCGTCATTCCAAGGGGGGGGGGGGAGAAAAATACAACTTTCATCTTTTTTTTTTTTTGCACGTTCATAAACATTCTGCATATGTATTCTCTTTTGTCTCTTCATTTATAACCGCTGTGAAATGTACATTTCTGTGTTTTTGGAGATGCAGTTAAACTTTTAAGCTTAAGTGTGACAGGACTGATAAATAGATCAAGAGTAAATCAACTTTAGATGCCTACTTTGTGACCAAGGAGCTCAATTTTTGTTTTGAAGCTTTACTAATATAAAAGAGCATTGTAGATAATTTTTTTTTACATCTATTGTTTAAAATAGATGATTATAACGGGGCAGGGAACTTTCTTTTCCCTGCAAGAATGTTACATATTGTATAGATGAGTGACATTTCATACCATGTATATATAGAGATGTTCTATAAGTGTGAGAAAGTATATGCTTTAATAGACTACTGTAATTATAAGATATTTTTAATTAAATATTTTTTGTAAATATTATGCGTGTGTTTTTTTTTTTAATCTATGGGAATATTTCTTTTGGAAAATTATTTTTCAGCTCCATTACAGAGCTCTCGATATCTTGAATGTCTTTTCTGTTTGGCCTAGCTTTTAATTTGTTTTCATTTTATCCAGTGTTGTGTAGACTCGGAAGTAATCGTTATAGCTAGTGGTCCTGCATGACTGCATGAGATGCTTAATCACAAAATAAACTTGTTCTGAGTCCATTCAAATGTGTTTTCTTTAACCTAGATTGAAATCCTTGTATTTGAAGCATACATGTTGGAAATATACTTTATCAGTTTTTAAGTACAGGGTTTGGTAGTGTAATATATAAAGAGTTAAGTGTCTGCTTTTTTGTTTTTTAACTGAGGTCTAAATGGATTCTGAATGGTTTTGCATATGGGATGGGGAAATGCTTGGATCCTTAAGGAGTTTATGAAATCTACTGTTTTATCAAAGTGAAAAAAAATGCTTATCATTCTTCATTTTACACTGAGGCTTAATGTCACTACGTTTCATGTCTGTACAGATTATTTAAATCATAGAAATGAAAAATGTTCTCTGCTTGCTACCAAAGGACAAACTCTTGGAAATGAACACTTTCTGCTTTCCTTCCTCCAAAGAATATTAATAGGCAACAGTGGGAGAAAAAAAAAAAAACAAGGCATAATGGCAAATCCTTCAAGCAGGGATAAAAGTCGATCTTCAAACATTAACTTAAGTAGACCAAAAATTCTGATGACCGCATCTAGATTATTTTTTTATAAAAATGATTTTCACTATAGCTATGTTAGTTACTGCTAAACCTACTGTCCGATCTCTTGTGATGTGTAACTTTTACATGTGAATATTAAAGTAGATTTATCTGTCTCGTACTGATTTCTGGTCTCGTTTCTTCAAAACCCTTTACTTATTTTTTAAAATTTTCTTTTCTCTTTAACGAAGTTAATATTTTCCAGGCTGGATAGGACCATCAGGGCCTGTGAACATCATGCATTGAATGTGGTCAGTACTTTGCACACCAGTTAGATGGAATTTTTAGAGTTAGAGAGAATTAAGTAGGATTTAATTGGGTGCTTTGTAAATAGTTAGTCAACTGTGTGTGTAACGTGGTCTGTTTGATTTTTAAAAGAAAAGGATTTGTTTCAGATTATACAAGAATAAAAGTATTATAGACCCAAGGGATATTTTATGAGGTCAAAGTCAAATATTTATATGAATTTGAAATCTCGTGGTCCTTAGTAGTCCCTTTAAGTGGCAGCTATGAACATAACAAAGTTAATGCTAGAAGGTTCAATTAAATCGAAAGGCTTAAAAATCCGTCCTATCCCCAGCATGTTATCCCCCCAGCTTTGACATTTCACTGGTCTTTGGTATTTTTAGAATTTGATATATTTGATTATTGAGCCTTATAAAGTCAAAGGACTGCTTGTTTAGATGAGGTTTATTTTTATTTTTGGTATTATTCATTCTCGTCACACATCAAGAAGAAAACAGAAAAACACTGCTGGAATTCGAAATCTGAAGAATTCGAACGATAGCGTTCTTTGTTTTTAAATAAAGGAGACAATTCCTTCTTTTTCCTTGGCAGTTTAATTTCAGTAGGAAGCAAGTCACATGTATACTGTTGGATGGAGTTAGGCATCCACCAGGCCTGACTGCCAAATCCTACCTAAGCAGTTAGGTACAGTTTAAATGTATAGTAGAAGGTGACGAACCTTAAAACAAATGGCTAAATATTTTTGTTTTTGAAGACAGATGTCACTCTTTAGTTTATTTTAGATTTTGGGCATGAAAAGCCACTAACAAGGAAGAAAAGTGTTATGGACATTGCATTTTAGAGACTTGGCATTTTTCCCTTGGACACTTGCAGAGTTTGGATATCTCTAAAGACACTGCCATTTTTTTTTTTTTAATTATATAGAGTTGTATAAGATATTACATTCTATTGTATTGGCTGTGACCTAACAAAGCAACCAGACAACAAAAACATTTTGAGTCATTTATCTAGTCTTAATTATTCAGATCTTAGGTTTAACAGATGAAATGCCCTGCTTCTCTCCTAGTCTACTTACTTTCACTGTATAGGGACAAGCAAAGAGTATGACACACATTTAAAAGCTTCAAAGGAATAAAGTATCCCACAGTGGGATTTCATTTCTAATTCAATTATAAAATCCTGAACATCTCAAACCGTTCCATGTTAAAGGAATGAAAAAACAACCCTTTTCGTTTCAAAGAACTAATATACTTTGATACTATATAAATCTTATGTTCATTGTCAAGGTCTAACTGAATTTTTGGAACTTTAAACAGTTTTGACCCCCGTAATCTATCGTATTAAATGCCTCCTATAAAAATAAATTTTCACTGAGCAAAGGGGTCTGAAGTTTGCGGTTTTTAATTGACTTCTACTGAGTTATGCGATTTTTCATTATCAAGAATGGGTCTCTTGATGGATCACCTCAATTATTTACAGTGTTTCTTACCCTGGGATGAAAAATGTGGCTTAAAAATGGTGATATGAACACAACGAAAATCTAGTGTGAATGCTGGGCAAAGCTCATCTGCTCTTTGCTGTCTTCCAGAACAGGCAGCAGGAGGATGTCCAGGGAAACTAGACCCCCTCCCCCACACACACTTACACAGAAGGTAAATAATGTAGAGAGAAAGAAATTATTCACAGTTGTACAGAGCCAAATAAAACTGGTTCTGCCTTTCTAGCTAATGCACTTTAATTACATATATGTTAATTAGCCCAGATAGCCCTTGGGTCTCAACAGGGCCAAACACCAAAACCTCCAGGCTTATAAGGAAGGAAAACCTTCCCTTTCCTGCTTAGCAAGTCCAGGAAATTACTCCACGCATCTCAGAGTTCATCTTAACAGGTCTGTCCTCAGTAGGCATTCTTCAGACCCAGATGATTTCTTTCAGTTATGACCCATGAGTCTTGCTAAAATATTAACTATATTAATTAGAACCATTGCCCAAAAGATGTTAGGATTGTAACACTTGGAGCATTGATCCAATCGATACTTTAAAAGAGAATTAATTTGTTCAAGGGAGACAAACGGCAGTCGTATCTACTTCATTGAAAATGCTCTCAAAGTTTCAGTGAATTTTTAAAAGTGTGGATCGTGTTCAAGTGCCTCCTTCATACTGATTCATATCCTGGCTTGCTCTAAAAACTTTTGCCTAGGTGGTAAAACTCGGGCCTGAGCCACATTGCCAAAAGTTTTCTACACTCACCTAAGCAAAGCAATTCACCAGTAGGCCGCTGAAGGCAGTTCCATCATTCATAAGTCTCCACAGTAAATTCACACATGGGATATGAAAAAAGGGTTGTTAAAAATTGAAGTTAATTTGAAAAGCTCCTCTGAGTCCATAAAAGTAAACACACCAGTTTCTGTGGAAAGAAGAACAAAACGTGTCACTTATATTTGAGTAGCTAAAATGTAACTGAAGGAGAATTAAACTTAAAATGTTTAAATAGAGAGATGCAAGAACCTATTTTCTATGCCAATCCACTTGATTCTGAATTTTTTCCCAATGAGAAATCTCACACATTAGAAAAGAATTTTCTAAGAGATTAATTCCACAAGCACTGGTGACATATGCAAATTCCTGGTGAAACCAGACACCTTTATTTGCTTTAAATGAAGGTTTCTCAATTTCTTATGATATAAAGTGTGTATTAGCACAAGCACGTGTATTAAGTTCACATTTTGAAATTTTCTCTAATTGCAAAGTTTAATTTCCAATGGAATATTGGAGTCTACATATAGTTCTGCAAATTCACATTTTAGAACATTTCTTAAATTTTATTTCTTAAAATTTATGTATTTGCTTAAATGTTTTAAGTATTTTCTTAAATATTTACTATTTTTTCTGTAAACTGTGGCAGTCAATCAAGAGGCTATAATTGTGTGTATGCCTGTGAGTGTTTACCTAAAAATAATTAATGAACATGCAGAAAAATATTTTTCAAAAAGGAGTTACACTTTAAAAAAACAAGTAAACCATGTTAACCTTCTTTTTTCTCTCTACCTTAATTCTTACAATTGAAGATCTTAGGGCATAAAAATGCATTCCTCATTTTTTGGATGGCTATAAGCCAATCATGTCATGTTTAAGCATAAAGCAAGATGGAAAATAAAGAACAAGGAAATCAAATGTCCTGTTTATCATATCTTAGAATTTGGTTTAAATTCATTAAGTAATCTGAAGAATAAAAGAAAAAAAAAAAAAAAGAGGGACGTACCTCTATGTCAGACTCACAGACAGCCCAGGAAACAGACCTACACTTGTAGACATGAATTTGACACCTTATTTCATCAAGGGTTCCTAGAAACACTTTTCATACCTGCCGAACCTGAGTCCGTGGCTGTCGTTAAAACTAGGTAGGCTCCTTGAAGTAGAAGGCTCTGTGAGGTTCTTATTTGCCTGTCTTTCAGGGCCTAACCAGGGTCTTATAAAATT